CTTCCTGCAGCTCTCCACCTGCTCCGAGCGGCTCCTGGTGCGTTTCTGCTCCTGGCTGCTGGCGCTCAGCCCCGATCTCAGCCACGCCAGCGCGGCCGTCCTGGCCGAGCAGCTCTTCCTCGCGCGGGTGAGTGCCCCGGCGCGGGTTTTGCGCGGCGTCTCCTTCGCGCACGTCCTCATCTCCTGCTTCTCTTCCTCTCCCTAGGTCCTGGCGCTCGCCCAGCCGCCCTCCCGCCACCTCATGGCCGCCCTGGCTTCCTTCTGCTCCAAGTACGCGCGGCCGTTCTGCCGCGCGCTGGTGGCTCCGATCCTGCGGGAGCCCGCGGCAGGTCGGCCGGGCTCCTTCCCACTGCTCCCAGGGACACGCGGCCCCTCTGGGGACACCTCGAGGGGCCGGGGGCTCCGTCCAGCAGAAGGGGAGGCTCTGCCCTTTCTCTAGAGGTGCTCATCACCTAAAACGAGAGGGCCTGCAGAAGCTGGGGAGATGAACACTTGCACGTTAGGAGTCCCCCCTGGATGTAGGACATGGGTTTACAGTTATGAGATGAGCAGGGATGGGAAGCATGGTTGGCTTTCCATGTTGTTTGTCCTGGAAGCTGCCATCCCTCCACAGTCTTGGGGCTTCCTGACAGTTGCTCATTTGAGGGCCAAAACTGCCCCAGGGGTGGCTCTGTATGAGAAGAGTCGGCCTGAGTCCTCCAAGGGCAGCATCTCCCTCTGACAGAGATGGATTAATGATGGTAACTAAACCCTTGCAGGTGGGCAAAGGAAAGGGAATTCTCCCAAGTTGTTAGAAGGGCTCTGATTTCTGGCTCACCTCACCTTGGGTGAGGGGATGGGCAAATCCCTTTGGATTTGGCAGCCGCCGGAGGCCCTGCCGCTCTGCTTTGCCCTTGCAGCGTCTGAGCAGACCAAGCTGGTGTGTGAGCTGGTGGAGGAGTGCCTGGAGCCCGAGTACGTGAGGCTGGTGTTGAGGTAAGAGGCCCTGGGAGCAGAACACGCCGCCTCGGATGCACCCACTCAGGGAGGCAGCGCCGCATCCCACCCTTCTTCCCTGTCCGTTGCAGCCAGGTCCTGGAGATGCCCTTGTCGGAGCGGCTGCTGCCGGTGGTGCAGGCGGTGCTGGCGAGGCAGGTGAGGGCAGCACCGGCCCCCCGGGCCCGGCCGCGCTCCGGGCGCGCTCTCCTCCCACTCCCACCTCTCTTCCAGGAGGCGCTGCCCCCCGAGCTCCTCGAGCTCCTGGTGCTCGCCCTGTGCCGGCAGGCGCCAGACTTCGCCGCGTCCCTGAATTACGCCAAGCTGGTGACGGCCGTGCTCACCTTGTACCAAAGCCACGTGAGTGTCACCAGTAGCTAAGACCAAGGGCTGGATTTTGGCCCACTTGGGGGTCTGCTGCTCTGCTCCTGTGAGCTGGGCGCAGGGTGTTGGACGGGCTCCCCGGAAGGCATCCCGGGGGTGCGAAGGCGGCTGGGCTCTGAGCAGCGGCTCCTCCGCC